GGACATTGGCAATGGTAGCATTGGATATCTAGAAAAGCATTTCTCTTCCCAATGGAAAGGGATCGGCCATAGTCAACTCGGTTGACCAAATGGTAAAGAGAAAGGCTAAGTCTGAGATAGTCTCATATGCCATTACCAAAGGGTCTATATGTTTTATTGCCAAAGGGAGAGACACTGATTGCGAAGCTGCCCTATTCGCCTGAAAGGTCATAAGGTTGATCAAGTCAAGAGGTTTGACTCTACTACGGGTAAAGTCCACTGTCTAACTCTATTAAGTTCCTATTTGGATATTCTTATTACATAATGTGAATGGGTCACATGCTGATGTTTTAATAATCAAAGAAAAGATAGGAAGCTTAAAGTAAGTATATGTTGATTCTGATTGCGAAGGTGGGTTTCGATCGCATGGTTCGGTAATCAGAATTTTGAGTTGTTGCTTAAGAGTTATAATATATTGCTTATGAATAGATAACAACAAGGTTTTCATGTGGATTGTAAGGATAAGTTTTTCCGCAAAGTTTTAAAATAAAAGAAAAAAAAGGGTTTTAATTTTATTTATTTTAAAAATATCCTTACAATGGCATCTGTGGAAAATTGTTGCTTATATGTTTCCAGTAATAGCAATATTGGAAAGTGGATTTGATTCTTTCATTTGTGGTAGTGTCTGAATTTACCAAATGAAGAAAGTTTTCATCACCCAAGTTTCAATTGGACAGAAACTTGGAATCATACAAGTTGTATTGTATGATGAATGAGAATTTTCATCTTTGAAAATTAAGACTAATTCTTTGATCACATGTATATGTGAGTCAATTGAAGGACTAAGGAATTAGGTACACTGGGTGTGCGCTGGTAAGGTCCACCACAAAGATTGATTTGTCATGATTTACTAAAGATTAGTAAATATGATTATACTTATAAGGTTAAGTATAATTCTGTAACATTGGAAAGGTTACAATGTATGACAAAACAAATGAGAAGAATCAAATTAGGCAGAAAGATAAAAGATTTTCAAATCTGAAAGGATGGGAGAGTACTTTAGTATCATATTTCATGATCATCTTAATGATTATGAAACCATATCACAAATTCATACTCTAAGGACATCTTAGTGCATTGTTATGGCTAAGAAGAGAGGTCATGAATTGTTGGATTGGTTAAAATCAAGAAGATGAGTCATACTTCGTTCCAAAACAATTCTTAGAGTCATACTCTAAGATTGTAACCTTGAGTGACATAAAGGAAGATTTATTAACACTAGTCAAATGTAAAAGTAAAATGTTTCTACTCTTGTACATTTGAGATTGGTAAGTTGTGATGTCTTGGATGAGACAAAGACCAACTAAGACCAATTGTGTGAAGTGTTAGTCTTGATAAGAATCCGCACTATCCCTTGAATATTTGTTTTTTCAAGGAATGGTTCTTGACTGGGGAAACTTATATGTCAAGGGGACAGTGGGAGCCTTAAAGATCCTGAAAGAGTTTCAAGATTTAATCAAGAGTAAGACCTGTAATTTATCACTAGCACACGACTTAAGGTTTGCAACCTATCGTGTTGACATAATTCTTATTTCTGCACCTACTTCAAATAAGTTGAATTTGCATGTGAGTTATCAGAGTTCAACTTAGAAGCATTGGTGGGCCTTGTGCTACCAAGGTGACAAGAAACTAAGATTGAACAAGTTTAATCCATGTAAGGCTGAATTTGTCACTAACCTTATCTTGTGATTATGGTTTTGAAAAATTCACATGGATAGGAACTCATACACTATAAAATCTAAGTGTCATAAGGTTTCTCTTCGATTCATGAAAATGATGGTGAGGAAACGCTTTCATTAAGTAGATTTTACGTAGATATCAATTGTGTTATTTGCATTTTCAAAAGTCGTTAGTGGAGCGCGTGTGGCTCACTGGCACACTAACATGGACTTATGAGAAATGGCAAAGGTCTAAGAAATTGAGACTATGATTACGGCATCCCTTTTCATAGTTCTGAAAATTGTTTAGACACACGTGTGAGCTATCTAAGAAAGGGTGTATGAATCTAAATTTCAGAAGTCCAGCAGATTTTTGGAAATATGTCAGAGCTAGTAGGATCATAAGTGTTATGCTGATAATCATCACGTTAGTCGAAGCATGATTATTACTTTTAGTGTTGCAAGTTAGCAATGTTAATTATACAAAACAAAGTTTCAATTCGTGAAGTTGCAGGGGTTGAAAAGTTGTTTTGCTATAATTAAGGGAGAGGAAATTATACCTCATTTCAATTCTAAAGCTTAGATTGAGATTTTAATCATCTTTAGTCAAGGACATATATATATATATATATATATATATATATATATATATATATATATATATATATATATGAATTTTATGTCTGAATGGTTCGACTTAAAGAAATTCTATATATATATATATATATATATATATATATATATATATTGCGTTCTCAAAATTCAATTATGACTACGGCATCCCTCTTCATAGTTAAATTTTGAAAACATGGCAAATAAAAAAATATTGTAGCAAAAGACTGGTCTAGTATCATGTCTTTATGTCAAACATCATGAATCATGTCCCATATGCTTCGGATATAGGATCGATTTCATGTGCTATAATATTCATCCTTTCTAAATTTTCCAAATGCTCACAGCATTTAGAAGGGAAAAGTTTAGAACTGGATATGACTAAAGTAATTAAGCAATTGTCGAGGACAATCTGAGGTTCGCCAAAGATTGGTTGCTCAGGGAAAGTTGGAAGTATGATGTAAGTTGTCGGAAAGGACCGTATTGACATGTTCTGAAAAGAAGTAACTCTTGTTCGGAAGTGATAGTCAAAATGGGACTATGGAAAGGTCTCCATAGGTGGAAGTTATTCAATCTATATAAGATTAGAAAACCTTAATGCAAGAAGGATGTTCAAAGCAATGTACTTTGAATATGAGACTTCCGTTCCATAGAGGTTGACCTTCTTTGGAATACTCTGTAATGACTGGTGACAAGGTTTTGGTGACTTTGTGAATAATCATTACAAGAGGAACATTGCATAAAGGTTTAAAATCTAACAGATTTTTTGGTAAATGATAGGAATCGGGGATTCTCACATTTACAATAAGGATTTAGGATTATTAAATGAGTATCATTGGAATCATGTTCAATTGATCCATTTCACAAAGTAAAGATCATAGACAAACATCGTTTGCATACTTGAAGTATGGCATAACTATTGTTTAGAAAAACAAAGTGTACATGCTAGGAGCATGGGATAACTATTGTTTTATTCAAGTCTTAAGTTGATTGTTTGAAACATTATACAATGAATAATGTGTAATCAATATGGTGATAAATAAAAGGTGGTTCTATTTATATTCAAAAGGGTTCTGAGACCATATTGGATTCAATTATTATTGTGTTTCACTTTGCATGTTTTGACTTCCAAAATAGCTAGGTTATTCTTTCCGAATGACTAAGTTGTTTAAACACTCCACAGTCGTTCATATGTTGGAAGTAGGTATGAATCAAGACTGTCATGAATCGAGGTTGTAGATGGCTAAATGTGTTTAGACATAGCAATGGTTGCTACAACATTCATGAGTGCTCATAAGTTATGAGTATTGGATTAAACCCACGCTCACTTGTATCACTTCATGGAATTTATCTCGAGTGATCGTGAGACGGTAATATCATATAAATCTTCAAACCTAGAGATATGAGTTGTTACCTATGAGTTGGTTGTGCATTGATTGCACGTAAACGCGTTAGTAACTTGATGTTATAAAACGTGCCTTTGTGTACAATTCAACAAGTAGTAGAACAAGTATATGATTCAAAGTTTATCTGTTCCTTCTAGAAATAGAAGCGATATCTGGGCCCCTCGATGATTTTGTTGTGACCTATGTACCGGCCGGTCAGAACTAAATTAATGTGTTCGATTAAGTTCTTTGTCAAACAAATCGAAAATCAGGAAACAAACTGCTGGACAATAAGTACGATGTTGTTCCATGTATTTGTCCAGCTGATATCATGAGAATAGAGGATTATACGATCACTTATCTAAAATGGCGCTTCATAGTTGAACAGAGTTTTCGAGAGCTATGATTGCTGGTTGGTTCCTGAAGTAACATACGCAAATATAGTTATTAGACTTATCCAAGTGGGAGTCTGTTGGATAAGGTGTCTAAGTCCATAACTTATTTGGTATATACTTGACCCGACCCGGCATGGTCCATTTGGGTTGCATTTCATCCAAACTATTTATGGATAATTTTATGAGAGTTATACACATATGATTATTAATATATTATAAGTTATAATATATTAATATGAAGTCATGTTATTTAATTAGTTTTAGTCTTAAATTAATTATGAATTAATTTAGAGATTAAAAGGAAGACTAATTAGATTGTGGGCTATTGGTTTTATATGGTGTGGGCTAATACTCATTTGTTAATGGGCTAGGCTTGTATGGAAGTCCATGGATGATCCATGGAGCTTTTAACCCATGGATCCTTGGAAAAGGAAAGGTCATGGGTTATTAGAGTTTCACCCTAATCATGTACACTATATAAGCATGCTTATGTTGCATGAAATAGTGACTAGTGTAACTAGTGTGTGTGTTTGTGTGTGGCCGAAATTTATAGTGTGTATACACTCTCTCAAATTTTTCCAAGAGTTTGTGGTGATTTGTGATTCCATTTGAGGCATTCACACTATTGGTGCTTGGCCCTCAAACTCCTTAGGAATCAAACTCATCATCAAAAGGTATGTAATCTCATCTAATTCTTTTATGTTTAAAAGTACCCCATGCCATGTTAGATAGGTTATGAACCTTGGAAAAATTATTATTTTGCATGTATTTAGACAAACATAGATCCAAGGTTTATTAGGGTTGCATGCACACTTAGGAAGTGTTAGATTGCTCAAAACCCAACACTTTCCTCTATTAGGGAGGAATGACATGATTTGAGGGAGAAGATATTGGAGTTTGAGAGGGAAAACATGCATTTGAGGGGCGGTATGATCTGCTAGTTGGGGACAAAATAGCTTTGGAGGAGTCGGTGGCAACTTTGGATGGGGCAGTGGAATGTTTTTCAAAGCGGATCGAGGCTTTGTTAGAAGAGAATAAGGCGTTGGAGGATCAGGTGGAGATAAGGCGGAGCCAGTTAGAGGTGAGGGAGCTAAGGAGAATGGCGGTAGAGGAGGATGTGGCGTGGCTCCTGCAGAAGGGAATTGTTCGTGTTGTAGACAAAGTGGTTGAGAGTGCCAAATTTTCTTTGGGCGCTAGGCGTATGAAGACAACGTACATGGCTGTTTGGGTGGAGCATGGGAAACAAGTGATTAGGGAGCCGATTTCCCTCAAAAAGTTCGTAACTAGTAAATCGAGTGCCCTTCCGGAACTCACTAAAGGGAAGCATGTTGAGCTGAAGTCTTTTCTTGAGATAGATTTTTCCTCCTACCTCCGCCTTGGCGAGCTTGACATGAAGGATCTTCGCCAGCTATGTAGCGACCCTAATGTTGAAGAAGAACATCCTAAGGGTAGCACTTTTGGGGTTGGTCCTTCCTCCACTCCTCCTGGTATGTAATTCATGCTCTTTTCCTTGCTTCTCAACATTTGGGATGATGTTTATATATATTTGGTGTTTAAGGAGCAGTATGTATCTATGAGTTCTGAATTTGTTTGGAGCCCTGTGTGGTGTTCTTCTCAAGTATGGGGCTTGTCCGGCAGACGATATACAATTTTTTTTGTTTTTTGTTCTCTCTTTTTTGGATGATTTTCATGCAATGGGCCATTTGTTATGCCTTTGCTTGTTATCCCAGGTGGTTTGTGTTGGCCACCGATGTACACATGCCCTTACTTTTCCTTACTGAGGCGATTCTTCCTTCAAGTTTATGTTGGCCTTGGCGGTGTCGATTCAAGACAATTCTTTTCTTGTTGCGTAAGGAATTAGGTCTTTTTGCTCGATGAGCAAATGTTTGGGTTGGCGATGTAGCCATGTTACTACTTTGCCGAGTTTATGACTTTAGGACCCGTGTTTGCATAGGGTCTTTTGGATCTATTTTGGGAGCTCATGATGGGAGCTCGTAATTTGTCCTTTCTTTGGGTCATAGATCATTATCTATAGACTGGGTCATCTGTCCAGTTTGCTATGTTATGGTATCCCTTTTTAGCTAGAGTTTATTAATTACCCTTTTTGGGACTTTGTTCTAAGTACTAAGACTTGCAGGGTCGCACTCCAATCCTAATTTTCTAATTCAAGTTGGGATGGTCACCTGGAGGCATTTGGGACTAAGGTATTATTTGTTTCAAGGGAAAGGTTATGAGCCTTTGAATCCTTTATTCATGTCATTATCGGGAACTGTGGCTATTTGGGATTAGCTGACATGTTTTAGGGAAAGCTTATGAGCCTTTGAACCATACAGTTGCATTCTCGCAAAGGTTTTGCTCAATTGAAGTGGATGATCATTCCTTGTTACCATTTGGTATACATGCACAACCTGTTATGTAAATGATATCAAGTTTGAATAGTAAAAAACATTCTAATAGTTTTTTATAATCAACTTGCTTCACTTCATTGATAGTGTTTTGGAAACAACTATATTGTTTGGCGGGTAAAGAAAGAGAAATGATTACATAATAACATAAACTAAGGCCTAGATCTTGGGCTGGATTATTGGAATGTGATTATCCGCTCGAAGCTTGATCACACTGCCCTTGGCCCGGATGTGCTTTGTCTGGGCTTTTCCCCTTGCTCCAGGGGTGGTGGTGCAAACTGCATGCATCCCAGGTCGCAGATATGGACCCTTCATCTTGGGCTCTTGGAGCATGAACTCCCCTTTGATGTGTGTCTACATTCTTTCCCGTACACTCCCTGGGAGCACCCTTCTTTTTGAGCTTGCTCATGTCCGAATGTTGTCTCGTCTTGTAGGTTTTATCACCAAAGTTTGGTGTTCGTAACGACCTGCTTGAAACCCCAAGCGATGACATTGTTGTTGTGTCTCTTGTAAAGTTATAAAGCACTTCTCCGACGGGGGGTGGTCCTATGGCGCCTATGCCTTAGCATCGTGGATATACCCCGGGCGTGCTTCCCTGTGGTTTGATCGTGTTTCAGTACGTTTTGGGGATTAGCATTCCTGGATGATTTGTCCTTCTGAAGACAATTCTCAGATCCCTTCACAGCTTGGTTCTATCTTCCCGGTTCCCCTCTAAGGGCGAGTGTTTTTTGCTTCCTATTCACCTTATCTAAACTCTCAAGCCTCCCCTTGCACCGTTATTTGGAGAATTACTAGGAGCGGCTCGTATGGATGGTGATCTTAGCACGATTTCAACTCGTCGAAGGATTTCATGGCTTTGATGATTTGTTTTGGGTAGACCACTTTTTTGATTTTCTTGTCGAACGATGTTGTGTTGGCGTTCATAGCTTCCTCTTGGGGATCTTGCTCAACCTTGGGATCATTGTGCGTGCGCGTCACTCTTTTCTCCATGTCTCGGTGTCTTCGGACCTTTTTGTATGTTTTTGCTAGAGCCTGAGGGATTCTTTGACAAAGATCTTCAAGTTTCAGGCCTCAACCTAATTTCCTAAATAATCCTAGTAAGTTATCGATCCACAAATCCTCAAGCGTTTAGGTTGTTAACTACTGCATCCAGGTTTAGGTGTGTGTTGATCAAACCATACTAAAACTTAGTTACGTATTCTAAGTCTATTTGTGGTATGGTTGCAGAACTAGACTAACCCTAGGACTCATTTTTTACCTAAAATCTTAGGTTGTGACTTAAATGGAAGATTTTTTTCGTATAATATATAGGTATATTTATAAGAGTTTGTATAACTCTTTATCTGATTAGTGTATGATATAGTCTTACATGATAGTTGATTCCCTTCCCTTGCATTATGTCTTCGATGAGTTCCAGAATAATTGAAACATGAATCATCAGGTTTCCAACGATCATTAAAGGACGACCCCATACCAATCTCCCAAAGACACTTATCAGACAGAAAATAAGAAACGCACAACGTAAAACCTCACGATTATTATCACTTATCACTACAACCATCGATCACCATACCAGCGTTTGACACCACTGGTGAAGGGTTTAAATTTTCCGAAATCGCAAGTTGTTTAATTTATTTATCACTTTTGTCACTTCAATTTTTTTATCGTTTTTTTTTTTTTTTTTTTTTTTTTTTTTTTTTTTTTTTTAATTTGACTTAGTTTTCAACATTTCAAGTTATGTCTTTTTGGAACATCGATGTTCTTTGTTTAGGACCTTTCCTTTAAATGCTAAAAGTATATATATATATATATATATATATATATATAAACGACGATTAATCACTTAGCGGTCTTGAACCGATTACGAGTGGAATGTTTGGTGGAAATTGGTCAAAATTGGTCATGAGCTTGGCAGTAGATATTTTAAAAATTCAAATTTCTTAATTTTCAAATATTACAACAAAAAATTTAAAATTTACAATTTTAAAATATCATCCTGAAAATTTCAAAAATTTAAATTTTTAAATACTTAGTTTTTACGATATATTAATTTTTTAAATAATTTAGGGTCCCCGATTAATCGTTGGTTAATACCCGTAGAATCCGATTAATCTTTTAACGTTAGTCAACTGCCGAACTATCGCCGATATATATATATATATTATATATATATATATATATATATATATATATATATATATATATATATATATATATATATATATATATATATATATATATATATATTAACGTTCATTTGAGACCATGCTAAATTTTATGAGACCGTGAAATCAAATATAAAAATAATTTGAAAATGTAAAATAAATGGAAAAATCCAAAAAAAAAAATTAATTATTATTTTCGGAATTTTATTTACCTGAAAAAAAAAAATTAACGTTTTTTTATAAGTACATGAAATATTTTAATAGAATATTACTCTGTAAATATTCTAACGTGATTTTTAGAATATTAGAATATTCTATTAGATTTGTCAGATATGTACAATATTCTAATATTCTATTAAAATATGTAAAAAAAAGATGTATTTATTTTATTATTTTTTTTGCTATTTTTTTTGGAAAATATAAATTCCGAAAATAATATTTGAATAATTTTTTTTTGAAAATTTTCAATGATTTTGCATTTTAAAACCCGTTTTTTTTATCTACCAAATGAGTGGTTAGGATTACGTCTCACGGTCTCACAAAATTATGTCGTCTCACATATATATATATATATATATATATATATATATATATATATATATATATATATATATATATATATATATATATATATATATATCCAATGTTGTATTTGAATGATATATACCAAGGTTTTAAAGACTCATCAAGGCTTCGCTACGGCGTGTCATAGCTCCAACTCTTGTAGTTGGCGTCACATTTTAATAAAATATCGTCTTAAATCATATATGTACGTAAACATATATATATATATATATATATATATATATATATATATATATATATATACACAAAATACAACTTTAAATCACGCCTTACAACTGATGTAATTTGGAATGGGTCGTTAAAACTTGAAACTTAACTTTGCCGTCAAGTTCGTATGTTTCTTTGATTGATTAGTTGGCGGTTATGTCTCACTATTAAACTGGATAACTAAAATGCTTTGTGAAAGCTCTAATCTTAATTCCTGTTGTTAGCTTTTCTTACTACTGTGCTCTTTTAGTCAAACTTTGCTTAAACCCAATTCTTCTTAGAGAAGGCGAAGTTGAAAGAAACTTAAGACAGTCAACTTCATGTTGTTCAATGAACTTCTAATTGAATTTCAATTTGAAGGCCTCTTCAAATCACCAAAACAAACTTTACATATTACAATTTCACCACGAAATTTTTGTTCCTCGCAATTGGACCCCTCAGCGTGAAACTTCTTTTCAGATGTTGGTTTGGACATGACCATTTGTTGGTACAATTAACAAAAAGATATATAAAGCTCCAATGCATGGTACCCTATTCTACAAAAGCTTGGACAATATGTGGTACAGTACAATCAAAACCTGCACAGTCACGAGGCGTAGGGAGTGAAAGAAAGATTGATTGATGAGTGTAATCTATCCACACACACGTGATGGATCTTGCAGGTTAAAATATGCCATAAATGGATACATAATTTATTAAACAAATAAAAGCATTCAATGTTTTTTCAACTATTATTCTGTCATCCTACAAACCTACTATAAAACCCAGTCAAATACGTAACCTACTAATCAGAAAATTTATGGTTCTTAAGTTTTTTTAATATAACTTAAAACTGTTCAACTGTTTAAGTATATTAAAAAACCGCTGTTTAATCATAACAAATTGCAAGAATATTAAACAAAAAACATTTTAATTAAACATTCGACCAAATACAATATATATGAAAACATTTATTTTAATTAAATGAACATTTTTTATTATATACTTTGTATACTTAATAAGTACACCAAGTTTTGTTTCTTTAATAAGAAAAGAACTAGTCAAATATTGTATGTTTCGATGTGTAATCTTTACACACACCTGAGTGTTGTGGTCTGTGCTATTCTTGTGCTTGTTATGAGTTGGTAGGAAGA